CCTACAGTGAAAAACTCTCCAAAAAAAAAAAAAAAAGAAAGGAAGGAAGGAAGGAAGGAAGGAAGGAAGAAAGAAGGAGAACTTTAGGAATTCTTGCTTTTTATATACTTCAACCAAAACAATACTTACGGGACCAGCAGATGGCATAATTGTTACGTCACTGGACTCCCATGTAGTAAACTGCAGTTCAAATCTTGGACCCAGAGGCTTGAAACTCTTGCCAGGTGCGTGTGTATGCATGCCCAAAGTCTTCAGAGGAGCATGGAGGAGAAGGGATTATGTCATGGCCATCCCTCCTGGGGCGTGATTTCTTGCTTTCTGTCTCTGTCTCTCCAGTAAGTGATTGTACCCTATAGCAAAAATCTCTCTCTCAAAAGAAAAAAAAGATACTTAAGTGAACTGTGAACAAAGATCAAATGCTTCGTCCCAAAATATAAGGTTAATAAAGAAGGCTGAATTAGCTACTTAAAGTCTCTGAGCTGTAGTAAACTGTTACCCTCCAACACATGCTTTCTAATATGTTAGTGCTTGCCTTACGACTTTTGGGATCACATTTGCAAATAGTTGTGAGATGTCCTGGTTAGACTAAGTCCAAGTGGACAAAGCTCATAGAAAGACCATGTAGAGTTAAATGAATGGGATAATCTATTGAAATGTTTTTAGTCTAACAGACTTTAACCTGTCCCTTGGAGATAGGATATTGATGTCATTAAAAACTATTTGACGAGGCATTGTTTTGCAATGTTTGAGGACAACAGAATATGAGGCCTCTCCGGGAAGTTGATTTGGAGTGAATGTAATATAATTATTGTTCATGGTAATTATGATTATTATGTTTTTTTTTTTTAATTGCCTAGCGTGTTTTTTTAAGTTGCCAGAGCCAGGATTGAACCGTGGTCAGCCATATGGGGTCTGGTTCCTTATGTGCAGGGTTTAACCACCATGTTTGTAGATTGGCCCAGTGACTATGATTTTTTTTTCATATCTAGAAAAATGAATACATTTTCAGTTCTATATCTGAAAAGAAATAAGCAAACTCCAATTACAGCTGGAGAGTCTAGACCATCTTTATTTTAAAGTTTTAATATCTAAAACAGAACAATAAAAGGCCATTCCTGCATGAAAAAAGAGTAGGTTGACAATGACTTCATTTTATTTAATCACAAATTGGGAATAATAAAGCTAATCTTGTTTATAATCATGGAATCCCAGCATACAAAGTCCTAATTTTATCTTGAAAGAAGTTTAAGTGAGTTGATTTTCATAGCATTCAGTAGATCTTCTAAACTCTTTACATTGAAAAGCCATACAAATCAAACATAAAGAACCTTTGGAAAAGACTAATACTTATCATGAACACTAGCAATATAAGGAAAAAAAAAGGTGAATGCTTGGATTCTATACTAGCCTTGGTTTTTACTGGCAGAGAAAATATTTGTGATACTTTGTTTTTATATTCTTAATTTTGTTCTACAAATACATTTTAATGTGTTTTGTGTGGTAATATTTACTAAATGGCCTTGAAAAACTGTTAAATTATATGCTCATTGAAAAACAATAGTTTTGGGGGCTAGCAGATGGCATAATGGTTATGTTGTTGGACGTCCACATAGTTGATCACGGTTGAAGTTTCAGACCCAGTGGCTTAAAACTCATGCCAGGTACGTGTGTGTGCATGCCCAAAATCCTGAGAGGAGAATGGAAGAGAAGGGATTGTAGCATGGCCATCCCCGCTGAGGGCAGGGATTGTAGCATGGCCATCCCCGCTGGGGGCTGACTTCTTGCTTTCTGTCTTTCTCTCTGGCGAGCGCACATGCCCTATAGCAAAAATCTCTCTTAAAAAAAAATAAAGAAAAAAAATGATTTTTCACTGCACTGCCCTGGTCCTCCCTAGAGGGAAATAAGACAGAGTGGTACACATATTTTAAAACTTTTGAAGGTATATATATATGCGTATATATGTACAAACACATATTTAAACATTTTTAAAGTTTTTGAGAGTTTTTGCTATAGGGTGTGTATGCTCACTGTAGAGGCAGAGAGAGATGAGGAGTGGGAATTTGAGAAATCACCCCCCAAGGAGGAATGGCCATGCCACAATCCCTTCTCCTCACATATGTACCTGGCGTCAGTTTCAAGCCACCAGGCCCAAGATTCCAACCATGGTCAGCCATGTGGAAGTCCAGCGCCTTCACCACTACACCACCTGCTGGCTCCTAAATTTCATTTTTTTTACAAAAATGAAATCATTCTTTATTTTGTTTTAGAATTTGCTATTTTCTCCTTACCTAACAATACGATGTAGACATCTTTTCAACATCTTCAAAATTGAGTTTGTCTTTTTTTTTTTTTTTGCCAGAGGGTACATATGCTCACCAGAGAGAGACAGACAGACAAAGGAAGGAGAAAGCACCTCTCATGCGTCACCATTATGCTGTAATCCTTTGTCCATTTCTCCCTCCTTTTGGGAGTTTGGGCATTTATAGACATGCACCTGGTATGTTTTTCAAGCTGCTGAGTCTGGGACTCAAACCACACTGTCAGCCATGTGAGATCCAGCTGCTTTAACCACCAGGCCAAAAGATGGCATACATTTGTCTTTTTAATGGTTGTATAGTAGTCTATTATTAGGTTATTCCTTCTCAGCTGTTCCTCTATAGATAGATATTCAGGTTCATACCAATCTTCTTGCTTTTATATACAAAAAGCCTGCAGTGAACATCTTTATCTACATGTGCTTGTACTCATGAGTATAAGACTGAAAATGTAAAGTCAAATAATATGTACAGGAAGAGGATATAATGGAGTCGAGGATGGGGCTGACATATTATATGAATTTAAATTCTTAATTCTGTTATTTAAATTATAAGTGCACCTCATGTAACTGCTACTCATTATTTTGTCTGTTTTTCTTTTATAGGTCATCTTAAGTATTCTTTTCCCACCCACCATTTTGACATTGGAATTTAAAAGCACAGCCGACATGTCGCACGTTCCTCAGTCCCAGGACTTCCAGTTTGCATGGTACTCCAGTGAACAGAACCCCAGCAGTACCAAAGACAGTGCCTGCATGGTTAGTGCAATATCATAGCACATTAAGTCTTCATGGCATTGACTGCATACGAACAGACACATTTATAAAGCTTACTAATATAGCAGTTTCTTAAACAAAGATTTCTGTTGCCACTTGTCAAGCCAGTGATTGTAGATGGTCTTGGGTTATATTGCACATTATTCTAAAGTGTCTCTGACTCATCAGTCAAGCTTTAGTTCTCCTCTGTATAATCTCTATCTGATTATACTGTGGTCAGGTATAGCATATATAATAGACCTAATTAATGGCATATATAACTAAGCAAAATATTCAATTTTTTCTCAGTTAAGATTAAAAAGTTTTTTATATCTCTATAGCAGTCTAACTTTTCATTTTCCTTTGTAATAAATAGAATTAATAGACTTAATACTTCTCTAAAGTGAGTACTAATAATTAAGCTAGCTTAATACTTCTAACGAGAAATGCCTCATATCATTGAAGTCTTTATTGGTAAAGCTAAAGCTATAGAATTTGTATTAATTTAATGTTCCGTGTCACAAATCTTTTCATTTGTTGTATTCAGTGGCTATAGATAGTTATTTTATTTAAAAAAAATTACTATAGGAGATGTGCACTTGAGAGAGAGAGACAGAGAGAGAGAGAGAGAGAAAGAGAGAATGGGAAAGTCAGAAATTACAGCCATGCTGCATGCAGTTCCTTCTCCTCCACTCTCCTCTGCTGGGTCTGGTACTTGAACTGTGGAGTTGGCCATGTGGGATCCAGCTGCCTTAATATCCACACCACCTGCTGATCCACAGCTAGTGATTCTTGAGTTCTAGATGCGTACTCTTTCGTGTGTAACTTGCCCTAGTGCTTTTGCAGCCCAATTTCACTACTAAATGTCCAGTATGCTATAAATATATTTTTTACTTTTTGTCTTTTTTGAGAGATTTTTGCTATAGCACATGTGTGCCCATCAGAGAGCCAGAGAGAGCCAGAGAAAGCAAGAAATCACACCCCCCCCCCCGCCCCAGGGCGGCCCAGGTCAGATGTCCATGGCACAATCCCTTCTCCTCCATTCTCCTCTCAGGATTTTGGGCATTTACACATGCACCTGGCATGAGTTTCAAGCCTCCAGGTCTGGGACTTGAACTACAGTTGACCATATGAAAGTCCAGTGATGTAGCCATTCTGCCATCTGCTGGCCCCATATTTTTTGGGTTTTGTGTCTCAACTTACATCATTGCTTGCAGAGTGGTCATTTACTGTGAAGGTTAGTGAATATCTTCTCTGGTATTTAGTACTTTAATAAAGCATAACACATCTTGTCTGATGTGCTTTTGATTTGATATTTGGTATATAATATTGAAAACATGTTTAATAAATATTAAATAAAATTATGATTAATGCTTCTATCAGAAAAAATTTTAAATATTTTGACTGTCACTCCATTTGGTGTGTATGTGTTTCTCTCCTTCTTTCCCCATCACTCCTTTCTCTCCCTTCCATCTCTAAGCCTGGTAGTTGCATCTGGTGTTCTCAGAATCCAAGAGAGCAGGCACAGGTACTTTTTCTTTTTCTTTCTTTCTTTCTTTTTTATTTTTAATTAACAGAGGGTGTGTGTTCTTGCCAGAGAGTAAGAGAGAGAGAGGAGAGAGGAGAAAGCATCTCCCAATGACTATGGTCACACTGCAATCCCTTCTCCTTCACTTTTCTGTAATTTAGGAATTTAGGGCATATACACACACATACATGGTGTGTTTTTAAAGCCACCAGGTCTGAAATTTGAAATCGCAGTTGGCTGTAAGTTATGTCAGCTCCATTAACTGCTAGGCTAAAAGACCACTTTAAGGACTTTCAGGACCTTCTAACCTCTGTAGAATGTGTGAGAGGTTACCTCTGTAAAGCTGGGCTAGTCAAGTTGTCACATTTGCAGTTATACTGACTAGATTGCATAGTTACTAAGTTTAGACCATTTAAAAAAATAATTGTTTTTAAAATTTTGCCAGAGGGTTTTTGCTAGAGAGAGGAAGAGCAAGAGAGAGAGAAAAAGTGAGAAAGCACCTCCCCATGGGGAAAGTCATGCCACAATCTCTTCTCCATCTCTCCTTCCTTTAGGGATTTTGGGCATGCACACACATGCACCTGGTGTGTTTTGCAAACCACTAGGTCTGGGACTGAAACTGTAGTTGGCCAGATGGGATCCAGTTGCTTTAACCATCATGCCACGGTTCCATTAAATTTTTTTCAAAGGAAAGAGAAGAAATGTAGTGTTAACCTAACCTGGTTAGAAATAAAATGTAGTGCCTATATGTGAGATTTTGCTTGGTTTTGTACTTATTTAGTTGTTCACATTAAGTTTAGCTTGCTTGTTGAAGAAAGTTGCTTTATCAGTTCCATCCTCTCACTATGGAAATCACCCACCATGCTGACCATGCTCTGGAGGGAGTGAGGTGAAATTCAGTGTACCTGACATTATAACTCCTGAAAACCTTCAGTTATCCAGGATCAAGAAAATGAATACATTTTCAGGGTTCATGGCATTTGAAGATGTAGCTGTGGACTTTATCTGGGAGGAGTAGCAGAACTTGCATGATGCTTAGAAGATCCTGTGCAAGGATGTGATGCTGGAAACCTACAGCAACCTGGTGTTCTTGGGACATTGCATTTTCAAGCCTGCAGTAATCTCCAAGTTGGAGCAAGGAGCAGAGCCATGGATATTAAAACTTCCCAATCAGAGTCTCTCTGATTCATAACAGTGTATCCAGTGCCTAGCATGAGTGTATTCTGATATGAGTGAAAGGAATGACTGCCTCCCCCAGCCTGTGACCTTCTTGACCTTCCAGGAATCTCTGAGGATGACACTGGCCTGCATGGTCTGTGCTGCTTTTAGCTTCACAGCTGTGGTTTTGAAGGTCTTTTTGAAGCACCAAGGCACTCTTACAGTTAAGGCCAATAACTGAGCTCTCTGCATCACTTTACTCATCTCCCACCTCCTCCTCCACTTCCTTGGTTAGGAAGTCATCTGAATCTGAGCAAACGTGGTTCCATAGGCAGTCATTTGCAAGGCAATGAATACCATTAACATGTGATTATGCTAGCTGCTTCTGTGTTCTGAAATTGCAAGGCAGTACTGGTAAAAGGAAGCCACATGTGTTAATCAGCATTGGTCAGAGAAGATTAAAGAAAGCTTACATAGAATTATATGGTGCCAGGTGTCTGCATCTTCAGCTAATTAACATCTGAAAACAACTGTCTTTGCATTCCACTTCCCCTTTCTCCATTTTCTGCCCTTTAAAAGAAGAAATTGAAAGGGTCCAGGAGATGGCATAATGGTTACATCGCTGGACTACCATGTAGTTGACTACAATTTGAGTCCCGGACCCAGTGGTTTAAAACACACTCTGAACGTGTGTCTCTGTGTTCCCAAAATCCCAAGAGGAGACTGGAGGAGAAGGGATTGCATTGTAGCCCCCCCCCAGGGGGGGGTTATTTCTTGCTCTCTGTCTCTCTGTCTCTTTCTGTATCTCTAGTGACCTCACATGCCCTATGGCAAAAATCTCTCTAAAAAAAGAAAAAAAAAAGGAAGTACCTAGAAACAGTTCAGGGAAGTGGCTACCTCATCAAAAAAGTTGAGGCCCCCTGATCTCTGCTTTTTACTTGTATGCTTTTGTGTGTTTATTTTTATGTTTATTTTCTAATCTGTGGCTGCCACACACCCCCCTCCCCAAATATGCATTTGTTCAGCTGTACAAGACACAACACTTGGCTCCTTAGTCTTCATTGGTCATTCCAAGATGACCACCTGCATTCTCCAAGTCACATTTGAACTTGTATTCACTGTGTCTCTTTCCACCATTTTGGCCAAAACTATACCATGATTCTGGTGTGCAAGCCATGAAACCTGAGGGAATAGTAAGGTATTTTGATCTGGGGATCTTTGGAGCCTGTCACTGTGAACACTGCCTGATCTACATGATTATATATGATTTAGCTTGTAAGTTGTTCTTTTTTCCATTGACATAGACTAACACTATAGCCCATAAACCTTATCATGTGTAAACAAAAACTCAGTGCATCTACTGCACCCCAGGATACCTGGGCTTCTTGGCTCTTGGAAAGTTTACCTTGGCTTTCCTGGCTAGGAGCCTGCCTAACACATTCAGTGAAGCCGAGTTCCTGATTCAGCATGCTGGTGTGCTGCAGTCTTTAAGTTACCCTCCTATCCTCTACTACAGCACCAAGGGAAAAGTCAAGGTTGTGTACTAATGAACTGATATTAACTTTTGCACTGTGCTCTTCATTTCAAACCAAGTACAAACTTTTTTCTTTTGCCTTTAAATTTATCACCTTGCCTCAGCCTCCTTGGATATGCCTTTGGTCACAAAAGCATGATTATTCCAGATTGCAATCCTCAATCACCCCCAAATAAACTAATTATCTTTAAATAATGTCTCTTTGTTATTCAGGATGACAGAGGAACTTATTCTACTCTTGATTTTGATCTACATTTGAGTTTTTTTTTTTTTTTGAGAGGTTTTTGATATAGGGCGTATGTTCTCACCAGACAGAGAGAGACATAGAGACAGGAAGAGAGAAATCACCCCCCAGGGGGAATGGCCACGCCCCAATCTCTTCTCCTCCATTCTCCTCTCGGGATCTTGGGCACGCACGCACACGCGCCCGGCATGAGTTTTAAGCCACCAGATCTGGGACGCGAACAACGGTCGACTATGTGGGAGTCCAGCGACATAGCCATTACACTAACTGCTGGTCCTATATATTTGAGATTTTAAATGATCTTAGATGAACAGAAAAAGCATTCTTTATGCTGTTAACTATGCTTGAAGATGTTCTCCTTTCAATTCTGAACAAAAGATGACTGGTAGAATATACTGCTCTGTGGGTATAAGAACAAGAGGAAAGATGTCAGCAAGATGACAGCATTCATTCCTTTATGAGTCATCAACTAAGAACCACAATTGGCTAAAATGATCTTATATATGTGAAAATAAAGGGCTTATTCAGAAAAAGAAAAAAAAAGTTATTTAGCTATGTATCTATCCAGCTATTTACAAATATGTAAATATGCCAGGCGTTTCTTTTTTTAAAAAATTTATTATAACTTCTTATTTACATATAATCATTATGTACATCTTTGTAGGGGACAGTATGATTTTTTTTTAGAGGTTTTTGGCATAGAGTGTGCACTCTTGCTGGAGAGAAAAAAAGAAAGACAGAGGTAGTGAGGGGGAAAGTGAAAAATAATCCCCTAGGGGGATGCCCACATTGCAATCCCCTCTCCTTCAGTCTCCTTCTGGGATCTTGGGCATGCATACACCCGGGGCATGATTTTCAAGCCACTGGGTCTGCGACTCGAACTGCGTTGGGCTGTGTGGGAGTCCAGTGATGTAACTGCTATGCCACCTGCTGCCCCTACAGTATGATTTTTTAAAAGTATACATATGGGGTGTCAGCAGGTGGCATGATGGTTGAGGCACTGGACTCCCCGATGGCCAACCATGGTTTGAGTTCCAGACCTGTCAACTTGCTTTCTCATTTTCCCTCTCTTTCTTTCTCTCTCTCTGTGTCTCTCTGGTAGGCACATGAGTCCTATAGTAAAATTAAAAACAAAATAAAATAAAATAATTCTTAAAAATAGTATGTACATGATGTGTAATAAGCAAATTGAGCATATTCAACACCTTCAGCATGTAACATTACATTATGTTGTACACATTCAAAATTCATTCTTCTGGTTATGTTAGAAGTACATATTAAATTGTCAGTGATGTTCTTTACTGTGTAATACAGTTCTAAAATACAAGGTAATAAAAATCAGACAACAAAAAGTCTCATAAATTAATGAGGATGGATTTTCGAAAACAAAGATAATTTTAACACAGCCAATGAAAAAGGAATTCGTAATTTCCACCTAGAGTATTGTTGGAGAGAAGAATTTATAATATGAAAAGATCTGTGGTATCGGGACCAACAGTTGGCATCATGGCTACATTGCTGGACTCCCATGTAGTTGACCACGGTTTGAGTCCCGGACCTGGTGGCTTAAACTCATGCTGGGCATGTGTGCGTGCGTGCCCAAGATCCCAAAAGGAGAATGGAGGAGAAGGGATTGCGGCGTGGCCATCCCTCCTGGGGGGTGATTTCTCGCTTTCTGTCTCTCTGTCTCTCTCTCTTTCTGGTGATTGCACACGTCCTATAGCTAAAACCTCTCAAAAAAAAAATCTGTAGTATCAATCAAAGGTCCAGTTAGAGATAGGTAAAATTGTACATAACAACAGCTCATTAGGAAGAGATAGTTAAAGATTTTGGTTTGAAATCATATTACTCTTGTGGGTCTGACACTAG